AAGAGACTAGAAGGAACTAGAATAAACTGAAGCTGGAAGAAGGAGCTGAACACGTGAAGAAGAGCTGCTGGTTTGCTGGTGAACTGCTCTGAATCTGCACGTGTGATTGCTGGTGAACTGGTGATCAATTGAATCTGATTTGGGCTGTTGGGCTGCTGGTCTGTTGGGCTAATTTATATTCCAACACTTTATTTATTTTACGCAATTTACAAATTGTAGTAATTTAATATAGGATAAATTGACGTGATTGATTAATCGTTTAGAAACAATTAAATAGTTATATGTTACTTTTAATTGTGTAATTCCGCACGTTGAGTTTAAATATTCGATAAATTTCAAACTTTGAACGGACTTGGTAGATGTCAACGCAAACATTTTCATGGGCTTATGGAGGGTCTACTTAGGCATGTCCGACATTCAAAGAAGTCAACACCAGCAAAAGAAGTGAAGGCCACGGAAGAAGCCTTCTAAGAAATTACATTGGTGGCAATTGCTGCGACACCACATTGGATCAAAATTTCCCAAAAAATCGCACATGAAGCCTGAATTACATAAAAAAGAAAGCCCGTTTGAGAGTACTTCTGAAGATAAAATGAGTAAAAACTTTCTTTATTTTTCGACCCAGCATGTTTGCCTCAATGTAAAAGGAAAGTTACAACCTGCTATAGCACATGACCAGCACGACCCTCTTCAATACCCCTAACATACTCCCATTTTAAATGAAATTTATTTACCATATTCACTTTCTTAGGGACTCATTTGTCTAAATAAATTGAATAAGACCCACACCATAATAATTTATTATTGGCTAATTAGTACAAAACGTCCTTATCTTTCAATGTTTCAGTGCAAAACGTCCATACTTTCATTTTTTGACATTTTCATTCTCATTTTCACATTTCATTGCAGAAAATATCATTTCATCCAACTTCCGTCATTTGCTCCGTTAAATCAACAAAAAAATATTTGGCTAATTAACATAAAACATCCCCATCTTTCAATATTTTTGTGTAAAACATCCATACCTTTCATTTTTGACAATTTCTTCCTTGTTTTTCCATTTCATTGCGAAAAAGGTCATTACATCAACTTCCGTCATTTGCTCCGTTAAATCAACACAAAGGGGCTTAAATCATGTATCCCCAATTTCCCTTTCTTGCTTTATCAACTGATCACCTGCAGCTGCTTTAGGTTTTTTGTCTGAAAAAGTCTTGTGGATCTTTTTAGAAGTCTCATGAAAAAGTCTCAAAAAAAAAAAAAAATAAAATAAAATAAATTGGGTAACACAATATTACCCTTGGTTTTTTAAAATAAAAATGGCATTTTGTGTTGATTTAACAGAGAAAATGACGGAAGTTGGATGGAAGGACCTTTTCCGCAATAGGTAAAAAAGAGGGTGAAATTGTCAAAAAATGAAATGTAAGAATGCTTTACACAGAATATTGAAAGGTGTGGACATTTTGTGCTAATTAGAATCTTTTTATGTTGATTTAACGGAGCAAATGATGGAAGTTGGATGGAATGACCCTTTTCACAATGAAAAGTGAAATGAGGAAGAAAATATCAAAAAATGAAAGATAGAAACGTTTTGTACAAAAACATTGAAAGGTAGGGACGTTATTTGCGGTTATTATTTTATTACAAAAGTTTAGACCGTTGGGTCTAATTTCCACAGTAAACGAAAAATTTGTTTTTGCCCTTCGCAGGGCCAAATTTCGTTACCGTTGGGAGCCTCTTGGAGCTGTCTGCTGCCCGTCTTCATTACCCCCACCTCTTCTCTCTCTCTGTCACGCGCACACACAGAGAACACGCATAGGAGCAGATTGCCTGAAGATTATTGGAGAGGATGATAATGGGGAGTACTGAAAGTAATAAAATGGAGTTTGACTTCGCCTCGACTGCTCATGATGATGTTCTTCTTCCAGTGTCTTCTACTTCTTCATCTTTCATCAGAGACGTCTCCTACAGGTTCTTAATCTTGCTAGAAATCAAATTTTTGGTTTTTAGTTTATGAAATTGTATAGTGAAAAAGGCATTCAATATATACACACGGTCTGCTGCGGGCTGCCTGCTTTGCTTCTTGTGTCTTTGATCTGATGTTAAGACGACCAAATTTGTTTAAAGTCGTTTGTTCGTATTCTGGAATTAGAAAATGTTTTCAATCTAAAATTGGAACTTATTTTTACCCAATTTCGGTTCCTTAATGCCAAACACGGATGTGGAATCCACTGTTGATCTGTTTCTTCTGTATTGGTGACTAATAACAGAATTAATCTTCACCGTAAAATTTTCGAGCGCTTTCAAAATTGGGCATCTTTTTCTTCCCCTAAAAAATCACAATTAAAGAAAGAAATTAAATAATTTAAATCCAAACATTGCTTAATTTACTATGAAGAACAAATTGTGCTGCCGTGAAATATCAAATGATATAGCTCTCTGTACTAAAGTCAGTAAAGAAACTGTTGTATATAACAAGTTCTAAACTGTTAATTTATTAATAGAATATTTACTCTTGTTTCTTGAGAGGTAGAAATGGTGTCCGGCGCTACGTGGTAATCCAGGTACATTCTGTTGAATGATCTAGTAAAGAGGTTTAGATCCACTTCTCACATAAATATATGGTGAAGAAAGGGAAATTTAAACAGCAACAATACAGGATAACCTCTATAAATTAATAACTTCTCTTTGTAGAATAAAATTTCCCGATCCCAACTTGGATTAATGGGATAAATAGATTCTCTATAATCAATAACCTCTATTTATGTAGAAAAATTTCCCAGTTCCAACCTTATTTATTTATAGAGGTTACACTGTATTTCTTTTCTGCATTTTAACACTGATTCCCCTTTCAAGAAGTCAGATGTGGTTGCTAAAGATCTAGTTGCTTCGAATTTTCCAGTATCTCTATCAGCCGAACAGGATTTTGAAAACAATTCATGTAGGGGACCCCCAATTTATTAGGAAAAAGGCTTGAGGTTGTTGTTTTCCCTTCGAAGAAAAGTTGCACGAATGAAATCTTACCGTAACTGCTCAAATTGAGCTAGGTATAGCCAGATAGACAGTCAGCGAGAAATGGATGACTAGCTTGAAGTAAGGCAGTAGTTTAGATGCAATTTCTTTTCTTATGGTTGAGAATTTTATCCAACACTTCACCTTAAAACTGAGTACATGATGGAGAGGGACGTTGAAACTTGCCTACTTCTTATTTAGGTTGTTGTTTTCCCTTTGAATAAATGTCGCACGAATGAAATCTTACCGTAACTGCTCAAATTGGGCTAGGTATAACTAAATAGATAGTCAGCAAGAAATGGATGACTAGCTTGAAATAAGGCAGGAGTTTAGATGCCATTTCTTTTCTTATGTATGAGAATTTTATCCAACAATTAACCTTAAAACTGAGTACATGATGGAGAGGGACGTTGAAACTTGCCTACTTCTTAGCACCATGGATATTATACTCAAAAGTCAACACTAGACTTGAGAAGTCCCATGCCAATTTTGAGCTATAGAAATGCTGAATTTTGTGATGGAATGGAGGTTGTCTTGGTTGTGGTAGTTGAGAATTTTCTGGGTAGTTAAGGTGGTCACACAGTATCTAGTTGGAAAAGTGGTGGTATATGTTGACAGAGATACGCAAAAGATGGAGACGGGTTTGGATTATTTGAAATAATGCTGGTCACTGCTTTCATTTCAACTTTGTAGACAAGGTAGGTTGAACATAACTAAATCTTATTCCTAATAAACTAAGGATCAGCTACAGGAATCCTTTTTTCCACTGCATTCAATCCATCACTATATCTATCAGAGGATCCTATACAACCATCTTGTTCGCAATCATGTCAGGCCATGTAAATATCAGATTATGTCTCCCTCTGGTAACATATTCTATTGGGATAGCATGACTTCTGGGGAGGAGGCCAAATGAGTGGTCCATTCCTTCATTTATCTTCAATTGGCATCACCTCCACTAGTTTGTGTACATTGCCATAAACCCATCTTAACATCCTTATTTTTGCTAGGTTCATGTTATAGGCTTGCTGTAAATTTCTAACCACGAGGGTGTCATTTATACAGAAAATCACGGGATGAGAAGCTGACTTTTTACTTCACATCAACGGTCTTTCGGTGTGGAAACTGTCTAAAATCTTGACAACAGGCTATAGATGTGTTATTTTGTACATTTTACTAATTTTTTTTTTCCTATTCTCTGTTTATCCCCTTTTTTTGGCTTCAGTGCTAAACTTGAATATTTTGGATCTGTCTGATTGGGGGTTGATTGCATTATCTTAATAATTATTTTCCTTTACATCTGTGGCAGCTGTGGCTCCTGTGGATATGAACTAAACCTTAATTCCTGCAACCGCAATATCTCAGCTATGGATTCAAAATATGGGAAATCCATGAAGAGAGGAGTTATTTCATTCTTTTCAATCGATGAAAGCAGATTTACTCAGATAAATAAACTTCAATTGCTACCTTACTTCACATCCAAGAGCTCGTGGAGATTATTTCGACGGAGAACCAAATTACTCTGTCGAAATTGTGGAAACTACATTGGTACTGTCTCTCCCTTTCAGTTGGTCAAGTCTAATCCTGAAACTTGGGATGGAATCTCTGCTTGTAGAACCTATGATATCAAGATATGTTCTTTAAGGCCACTGTCCTCTGAGGAATCCAGTATCTTTATCTGATCTCAACTCTGAAGGAGACTTGTTACGCTTTCTGACTTGGTGTGAACCTGAGAAAAGGAGCAAGAAGTACGGATTATCATAGGTGGATCATCGTTTATTATCGACTTATGAGTGTTTCTTTCAGTTAAGATTCTCAGCATGCTTCAATAGGGGCCTGGATTTTGCAGCAAAAACTTCTGAATGAAGCGTGTCTTTTGTTTGTCTACCTAATTTTTTTACACCTAGAGTTGTATGACATTGCCATTGAAAATCCAGGGCTAGGTGTCAGGTTCTTTGCATCTGTTACTTGTGAAAGCCATCTCTGCAAACTAGTTGTGTCTTCTTTATAACTTGAGGATTTGTTACTACATCCTATGTTGTGCCCTTTGTAGTTTATAGTTACAGTTTAAATTTCTGATGTTTATTTTTACTCTGATATATCCTGTGTTTGCAAAATGTTTATGGATTTTGGTTTTCAGATGTTATGTCATTGTGCCCTTTTGATTGGAGCCTGGGTTGTACTGAAATGGAAACGGGACATGACATAATATGAGGGAACATTCTTTCTAAAAATGTAGGGCACGAAACGCTATGAAAATGCAATATAAAAATTTTTAATTTATTTTTATCAATTAAATATTAACTTTGAAAAAGTATTAATATAAATTAAATAACAAAAATTCTACTATTAATCTAAGCTAACTAAAATTTTACATATAATCTTCATTGTCATCTTAAAATAATTATTCATAATGATTAATACACAAATACTGTTGTATCATATATATAGTTCATTGAGATTAAGCCCTCTGTATGACGACTAGTGGTGACAATCGAGTTGAGCGGCTCGTACTGTAGCAGCCCATGAGCTCTTGGGCTCGTCAAAAGATGAGCCCGAGCCGAGCGGGCCGGCTCGCTAGACGAGCAGCTCGACAAGCAGCTCGCTATGAGCCCACGATCATATATTTTTTTTTTTTTCATATTTTTCTCTATAAATACATATCCTCTAATCAACATTTTTTCCTACCAATCCTCTCATTCTCTACTCTACTCTCTATAATTTACAAATTATCAATATTCAACAATATCATTCATTCATTCTATAATCATCTTCATCTTCTACATTTTTTTTTACATTATTATCTTGATTTTACTTTTACAATTTATTTTATACACTACTACATAATTTTCATTCACTTCTCAATTCTACATTTCTATTTTCTACATTCTACTTCAAATCTTAAACATTCAATTTCTATTATTAACAAATGGATCCACGATCATTTGTTGAAAACTTATTATGTGTGGAAGGCGAAACACTTGCTTAAAATAAAATTGGGAATGAATTCGCCGGTCTCAATGAATTACCAACTCCAGAAAACATTCAAAATTTCGACGTTCGTGAAGGTAGTCATCCAATTGATTTGGATGATGTTGTCATGTTGATGTTAATCCTAGTGTTCCCAATTGATTTGGAATAAGATGAAGAGCCTATATTAAATATTCCCGATACAAGAAAGAAGAGGGAAGAGAAATGGGAAGAAGCAAGTAAAATGTTGGGACCATTTCAAATTAGTTCACACTAGTCGTGTGGTCGATGGACTTCCAAAAACCAAAGCAGTATGTAAATACTGCCAACAACGACTGGCATGACAAAGAGACATTGGAACTACCCACCTCAA